CGTACAAAAATACTATAATATACGTTACAAAAATTTCCGACTAATGAGTAATTTTAATATATTGCTTATAAAGAATCTTTATAAATAAATATCTAATATACAAATACTTAATATATTTAAAATCATCATGCTTTTGAGTTGAACAAGAATTTTTTAACTTACAATATAAATTAAAAATTAGATTAGAAAAATTAGACAAATATAGAATTATTAGCCGGAAATTTTTGGGAGCCACTGTATATTATAGATTTTTCTAGTATTTTTGTATGAGATTTTTCAAGAATAAGATTATTGATACTCTCTGAAACGCAGCGCGACATTGTCGATGCGAAAAACCGAGTAAATAAATAAAATACTTGGTTGACTATTCCATGATCGAATATAGAATTCTAGATTCTCGCTTCGCAATATATATATATTTCCTTTTGAAGACGAATGGTTCGTATCGCTAAACTACTTTAACGTATTACGTATCGTATGGCAGGGAGTGGTAAGCTGTAATCTCTGTCACGGTAACGCATTGTTTATTCGCAACAAGGAGAGCTCGGTATCTACAGTGGCGTTATCTCGCGCGATAAGCGCTCCGAATGACGCTCGCGACTAACTATGCACGGACAATTCGAGAGAGAATATATTTTCTCGATCCGCATTGAAAATTTATCAATTTTTTAAAAATTGTAATAGTGCTCTTCATATAATTTCTCGATATTCTGTAACAGTTTTACGAGTGATTTTGTCAAAATCCTATGAGAGAGCACGGAAAAAAATAATGTTGCTATGAACGCAAAAGGTAAAATTTGTAAAATTTGTTTGTTATTATCATAGTAAAGAAATTTGCACATTTGACAAATATTTTGCATTTGTTGCAAATAATTTTTGTAGGAAGTACAAAAATGATAAGTATTTGTTACACTTGGAAATAATTTTACACTCTCTGTATTTGTAGATAGAATTTGTAAGATATATAATATTCATAAATAGAATTTGCTGTTACATAACATAGGATTAGCATTTATAACAAAGTTTTTTCTCTCTGTGAGAAAGGTATAATCTTCATATCTAGGATATTCCAGAATGACCGCCAAATATTTCGTGCGCAGGTAGAACGTATTAAACTGAGTCGAAAAGTTCTCTTATTATTTTACAATTTTCACAATTTAATTAGACATCAATTACTAAAAATCGCCGAATATTGATTTTCAATAATTTTTTACTCAAATACTATCAAGTTTAGAAAAACTGCAAGAGACAAAAATTGTTTATTTTCATCTCATAGAGATTTGAAAATTTCTTCAGAATTTTTTAATATCGCATTTTCTTATATTGGTAAAAATAATTGCCAATATAAGAAAATGCAGTATTAAAAAGTTGATAAAAAATTCTGAAAAAATTCTTAACGCTGTATAAACAATTTTTCTGTAAACTTGAGTATTTAAGTAAAAAATGATTGAAATCAATATTCGGCGATTTTTAATTGATATCTAATTAAATTGATATCTATTATGAAAATTGCAAAATAATAAGAGGACTTTTCGATTCAGTTTAGCACATTCTACCTGCGCACGAAATATTTGACGATCACTTTGTATAATTATATACCTTTCAATTTAACTCTAGAAATTATATACCTTTCTCATAGAAAGAAAAAATTTTGCTATAAACGCTAATCCTATGTTATGTGACGGCAAATTCTAGACAGCAAACTCGGTTTAGTCCACTCTACCTGCGCATGAAATATTTGGCGTCATTCTGGGACACTTTGTACATGTGCATACACACTCTGTATATGCATTGAAAAACCCATTTAGTTAAATCAATTAACTCTTGTTTGATAAACAAATTCTTGGTTAATAAAATAATGTAGTTAAAGCAAAATATTTTGTTTATTTTAGCATTTTATTTGTTTCTGATAAATATTAACATCTGATAAATTTGTTTATCAGAAACAGGTAAAATGTTACAATAATCAAATGTTTTGCTTCAATTTTTATTATTTTATTGCATTAATCAAGGATTTGTTTGCTCATATCTAAACAAATTAATTGAGTCAACTAAATGAATTTCTCAATGATATATACAGGATGTCTCAAAATTATCGTCAAATATTTCATGGACAGATAGAGTAGACTAAACTGAGTCGAAAAGTCCTCTATCATTTTGCAATTTTCAAAATAGTTAACAAGATATTAATTACTAAAAATTGTCTTCAATAATTTTTTACTCAAGTACTATCAACTTTACTAGAAAAATAAGAGACAAAAATTGTTTATTTTCGTCTCATAGAACTTTAAGAATTTTTTCAGAATTTTTTAATACTGCATTTTTCTTATTTTTAACTAACATGAGAAAATACGATATTAAAAAAATTCTGAAAAAAATTTTTAAAGTTTTATGAGAAGAAAATAAACAATTGCGAAAATTGCAAAATGCGAGTTTTCTACTTACAATCAATTTAGTCCGCTCTACCTGCCCATAAAATATTTGGCGATTTTTAGATATTTTGGGACACCAATATATAAAATTTCATTCCAACTTATATTGTTTTATTTTATAATTTTACTTAAAATTATAGAGCGAGACAGTATAAGTTAGAGTGAGATATTATGTACAGGGAGAAATTATACATGTATAGTACACACACACACACACACACACACACACACACACACACACACACACACACACACACACACACACACACACACACACACACGCGCGCGCACACACACACACACACGCACACGCACACACACACATCTTTCTCTTTTGTATTGTAGGTTTTGACAAAATCAGCCAGACGACTTTGATATAAGGTTTCTATTCGAGATGAAATAGAAGTAGAATTAATAAGAAATAGCGCGATGCGACACAGATGTATTTTTTAACGAAATAATTTGATGGAGAAATTTTCTGTCGACAAATCCACATTGATTCGTCCGAGATAACGTTTGTCTCCCTAATTTTACCAGTCGATGCGAACAAGCGTAACAAATCATTACGCAGTGATTCAGTGCCAATTTTAAGATATCTCAAAAGTTTCCTCGCTTAGACTGGGAAATGTAACGCTATTTTTGGTACAATCAAACAGGATGTCCGTGTTCCGTCAATAAATCTATATCAAACGTATTTTTATGCGCAATATCCATTATCGAGCAACGATTCCATAAAACGAATAACGAGGAAAAAAAGATGTATAACAATATTCATCGACAGCGATCTAATTATATCTAATAATCAATTTATCAGTCTAATAAGCTTGTTAATTAAATGGCAATATTAATTAAACAACGCTTTCTTTTGTTTTAATAAAATGTTGTACCTGTTTCAATATCTGTCATTGAATTAATAACATCATTTTTAATTAGACCACTCTTGGCTAATACTGTTAACCTTTAAAGTGAGTGTCTATTTCTAAAATCTTATAGCTTATTCTTGAGTATTTGTTAGGCTGACAAGAAATTTTACTAAATTTTAATAAATACTTGCTTAAACAGTATTAATTAAACATTTATTTACAGTAAATATATTTATTGAATTGAAAAATGATACTTAAATCAAATTAATATTTCTTGTATTAAAAAATATGTTTACATTTAGTAAATATTTAGTTGGTACAATGTATACAAATATTAAAATTTAGTACATCTTTTTTCAATGTATAATTCATTATTCATTATTTCATTGTATTTCTTGCTTCAAAATACTAGTTTTTACGTCTTATAAAG